ATTACTGGGGCCGGTCGTACGAAAGCTGGATAGATCACGATCCACCGGATGATGTTTTTCAAACGCTCAAAAATTGGCTATTGTTTGGTATAACGTGGGTTAACCTTAGTATTCCAAAATTGAGGATTCGCTTTAATAATTGTTCACTGAAAATCTGTAGTTTCACTGCTTTTCGGACATTTTTATAACGCTTGAAAAAGTCACTCCTTCATTTATAACGCTACCCAGCCTTCATACAACAAGGCCCCGATCTATTTACATGGATCTCATGCATCTGAGGTCGGTTGTAGGAAAGTTGAATAGCGTTATCCAACGGATAGTGTTTTCAATCGCTCTAAACTGCCCGTTGTTCAGTATAACCTGGATTTAACCTCAGCATTTTCAACTTGGGAGTTCTCCTCTTTCATAACTATTAGCTCAAATCTGTAAATGCATTGCTCTTTGAGAAAGCTATATGGCATGTGCAATCTCGTAACGAAATTCCTAATATAAAGAAGAAAGTCTTTTGTGACTTTATAAACAGAAGATTCCTTCGTTATTTTAGTCGCCTTCTAAATGGTTTGCAATCGCATATAGAGAAGCAATATCTCACACGCGTTCGTGTGATATTTTATATTCAAGAACATCACAGAATTTTTATGATTTTGAAGGTAAGCGGGTGTGGTATAAGCTGCCTTTATCAGATTTGTTACAAGATGTGTTATTTTTACGTGTGTATGTCATATCGACAGCAAATTCTGAACTGTGTTGATCCTTTACTATCGTTTTAATGCACCATATGTATATATTTTGTTTTTGTTTATGTTCACATTTAGTCGAGTTTCGACGCCTGGGTTTGCTGACATTGGATTGTTGGAGAGAATATTGTAAGCGTTCGTTATCAAGAAATTATTTTCAACCATCTACTTTCAATAGTTTAATGATTTACTTTCCATGCATATAAGATAATAGAACTAAACAATGATAAACAGATTTTGCTCTTGCCTTCTTGGGGAATTCGGGGGGCTGGCTGCACAATTAACCGAAAATATTTAGATTTCCGACTCTCTGAAATTCCTTTATATGCGTTTTTGACCGTTGACAATAGTTAACTAGGAAGCTTAATCAAGTTTTACTCTTTTTAGTGCAAAGTTTCTGTGAAACTTTGCAGTATTGTGGTGAGTGGCGAAAATTCACATCAGACAGTCAGACAGTCAATCAGTCATAGTGTAAACTCCGGGGGGCGGAGTGTTTTTATGCGTATAGTACATTACCAGAAATTTGGGACAAGATGGCGTCTTGCATTCGGATAAAAACAAACATGGCGGCCAAATTTCATGCGAAACAATATGGCTTAATCACAAAACTTTAAATTACGCTTCCTATGTGTGTTTTTTTCTTGGTTCGGAGTTCGAATTCTGTAAATCGCTCAGAAAGGAAGAGTTATAACAAAAATATTCACTCACTTGCAAATCCTCGAGGTTCCTGAGTGCGATTTATATACAAGTCCAATTTGAATGATTCGGCTATATAAAGCATAGTAATATCGGTAAACATGCTCTACAATCTGGTCAAATACACCACTTTCCTTTTGGACGATGCAAAGTTCGGAGTTGGAAATGTCTTTAGTTGTGATATAGCTACCGATATAACTCATAAATATCTTCGTATTTTTTACCGCCACGGTTCCCACAGCGTTTGAAATTTCATAATTCTTCAGTGTGTTAAGCATCCGGCCATATACATTTGAAGAAAGAAAGAAATTTTCTCCGCCATGTAAAGAAAGGCTTCTAAACTTTCGAGCAGCCATGTTTTTTTCTAAACTTAATTTAAATCTAGTTCACAGTCTTTAAAAGCGAAAAAGAGCCCAAAAATTGCGTAATATTGCGCTCTGGAGAGTCATAAATGGCCATGAACAAGTGGCGCCTTGGCGCGCGCAAATTCAAAAATCAAATATGTCTGACATTCTGGAAAGTTACAAGAAGCTTCATATCGACTGGAAGCTGAAGTTAAGTACTGAAGGGCCTTTAACGTATGTAAATCGGCAAGTTGATTCAAGGAGGCAGATTTTATTTACTCTAGATATTCCATGGGGGTTGCTCCAATTTTGGAACTCGCTTCTAAACGTCACTTCCGTAGATATTCGATATGTAAATTATATTGATTTCCTCAATGCAAGTGTTGTGGACGGATGGTTTACTATTAAACGCGACTGCGAACGTATAGAAAAGTTGCTTCGGAAACAAGCTAGCTATGTCAAAACTACTATTCAAAAGGCCAAAGGAAGGAAGAAGAAAGAGTTGGAACACAATGTTTACAGAATCAGTGTTCAAAGAGGAGAGATTGAGTCAGCAGAAGAGTACAAATTACAGGCAAGCCAATGCAGTCAAGAATTTGAACAGTACAAGAAGAACTACCCTGATTTAGAAAATGCGAAGAAGCAACTATATGAAGAAATTATTGAGGAAGTCAATAATTTGAAGGAGGAAGTTGCTGAACTTAAAAATGAAAACAGCGAATTTGCTGATTACATCGAAACACTTGAAAGGAGAGACACGTTAAATTGTCAAGGGAGAACATTTCAAGAGGTAGGAAAAAAACAAAAAGTGAGAAAACTTCGGCTGCTTAAAAACAAAGCACAATGTGCACTTTGGTTTCTAAAAAGCTTCGGTCTAGAGCTTTCAAATATTACACTCCAAGATAAAGAGGGTACTTCTCACACCCTAGACTATGATGCATCCAGTGGTGTACCAGGTATGAGCCAAGATAACGAGGACAATATTGAAAAAGTTTTGTTTTTATTGGACAAATTTTGTATAGCTGATGAAGCTTACCATGAACTATCCATGATTACAGATGGTCTACCAAAATCTTACATTATCAAAAAGTCAAGATCAGACTTAAACAAGACATACTCTATAGAAAGAACACAAGGAAAGTATTTAGGTGCAAAACTTAATTTTACATCTACCCTAATGGACCATGTAAAAGATCTACTAGTCATAAAACCAGAGTTAGAGAGAGAAACAATCCAAAAAAGTTAAGTGGCGATGGTGCCCGAATGTCCAGAACTACGAATTTCATGATGTTCTCATTTGCACTCCTACAACTTGAAGAAAATGTCATGTCATCAAAGAATAATAGAACGGTTGCAATAATTAATGGACCTGAAGACTATGAGACATTGAAGGACTCACTACCTAATTTTTTCAAAGAAATTAATGAACTTATTCATCAAGGATTTATATTAATTGATGGTAAAGAAATCAAATTGGAGTTCTTTCTTGGTGGTGATCTTAAATTCTTGTTAATGATAATGGGCTTAAACTCTGCTTCATCAAATTATGCCTGTTTATGGTGTAAGGTGCACAAACAAAACAGATGGGACACAAGCAAGCCCTTGAACTTTTACAATGAGGGGGAACAAAGGAGAAATTTGGCTGAACTCAAAGAGATGTGGCAAACTAGTGGAGAAAATTTTGGGTGTATCCGTCCCCCCCTGATTGATATAGAGCTAGACCATGTAGTGCCAGATGAGTTACACCTATTGTTAAGGGTGACAGACCGGTTGCTTCAAAACATAATTGATGAAATAATTGAACGGGATGTGATTGCAGATTTTAACAAGCCAAATACTCAACCCAAAGGGACACTGTTAAAAAAATTTGTAGACAATATAAATGAATTAGGTGTACCATTTTCAGTTTGGTTTAAGAAAAATGCAGATGGATCAAGAAGTAAAATCGAAGACCACACCAGCTTAGTTGGGGGCCAAAAGAAAACCTTGCTAAACAAACTCCCTGATATATTGCATCATTATCTCTACCCTGAGACATGTGAAATTGTAACTCAAATATGGAGAGATTTCAAAGATTACTATGATTTGATCACAAATTTTGAATTGACATGTGATTCATCCAGCATCATATTTAACAAAGCAATAAAATGGATTGAACTGTTTTGTTCTTTAAGAAATACTAGATCTGGCTATACAAGGGATAGAGTCACACCTTACATGCACATGATGTGTTATCACATTCCAATTTTCATTCAACAATATGGTTGCATTAAGAAGTTTACGGGTCAAGCTGTTGAAAAAAACAACGACGACGCCAAAAGAATTATGTTCCAAAAATCTAATAAATGGGATGCTGCCAAGGATATCCTCCAAACAGAGAGCAGGCAGTGGGACTTAAAGCAACATGTACGTGTGAAAGGTCCTTATATTAAAAGAAAGGCTGAATACTGGGGAGGAGATATCTGCAGAGTAAGGAAAGACAGAAGACGTCTTTCTCAACCTGCTACACCCCAAGTAGATGATCACGACATATTGCATTCCCCCCCAATCCCAATCACAAATTCGGTGGATTATGGAAAGTTAACGATCATGCAGTTACGCAACATTGTCAAAGAAAAAGGCCTCAACAGACGAGGGCTGTCAAAGTTTAAAAAGCATCAGCTAATAAATTTAATTGAAACATCCTAAATGCTTCAAGAGTTTAACTGTCTTGTTTCATGGGAACAAGCAGATGTATAGATGCTACTGGTATTATTCCAGTAGGTGAATTTTTTGCTTGGTTGAGAAACTACAAATTTTTAATTCCTTAAGCTTTCAATCTGTGAATATGGATCATTGCCAGAGGAAATTTTGCATATTTTGGTTATGAAATAATTAGTGGTTGTTACACCAAAGAAAAACATTACAATTGAGAGATGAAACCATTGGACTGACAAGTGAGGTATATAATGACATATGATATATCTACAAATATCATGTATACAAGTGTTGCAATTTGCTTTAATATACTTTTTCCACACCAATGATGTCACTTATTTATGCATAAAGATATCAAAATATAAAAAAAAACTCAATTATTCTCTTTATAAAGAGTCTGCTTTGTTAAAGTAGTTCGCAGTGTGCTGTAATTATCCACAAACTATGTCACTGCCAAGCAGATTGACTTTACATAGGTTTATGTATATATAGGTTCACTTCATGTTATTTTAATCCAACATTACCTTTATGAAGCAACTTTAATAAAGTTAATTGAAATTTTTTCAGTGTAAGCACGGGGAGCTTCAACAATGCTTTCTCCTTCTTTCACAAAACATTTTGCTGATCTACCAAGAAATTTCCGCATCTTCACCGGAAATAGCATCTTTACACCATCCCCATGTTTGTCATAGCGGCAATTCCAATTATTGGGTAGGCCACAATTTACAAAATCCTGTTCCTCAAACAATGTCCAGCTCTTTTGTTCAGCAGCCTTTCCTTTCCCACCAAACAAGTAATTATAAACATCATGTCGAAACTCCACAGTCAACTTTTGTTCTGGCCATCTGTGTTTGAGGGAAGCAACAACTTCCTTTCTTAACCGGTCCACACATTCTATGACATCATTAGTGTGTGGTTTAGGGTTCTCAAAGTACCTGGAGTATTAAAATATGCATTTTAATATAAAAAAAACTCCTGAAGAAATAAAATTGCAGTATGTGCCCCCTAAATTGCCCAGTACTGCCAAAGGGAAGACATAAGCCTTGAATTCTATTTTTCTATTAAAACTTATTGAACACTGCAACTGTGGCTGGCAGTTTACAAACACTGAAACTCATGCATGTGCTGTACATATCTTTATCACACTTCATCCTAATTATGGCACAACTACAGTACTTTTTCATGTCCAAACCTTTGTTTCAAAATTCAAAGGGTTTAATATTATTTTAAAACTTGGATATAGTATCCCAATTTGTCAGTTTGACATTACACTGATGAATAAAATTTACCTTAAGGATGCTCTTGAAATGTGATGTTCCGGTTCCCAAGTACTTTCAAACGAACTGTAATCCTTCCATTTAACTAGGTACTTGACTTCCTATAAGCGTACGTTTGATAGATGGTCTTTATTAGATATTAAAATACATAGAACATCAAAAGTCGATATACTACGTCTACAAAGATGTTTACCTTGTTAACCTTTCTGCGGGCAATCACACGCTCAGCCTCAAAAATACCAACTATCTTTGTTTTTTTAATTTTCTTCCTTTTTGTTTCATCGTATACAATGTCTACGGTACTCAATTTGTTCAAAAGAAAATACGGGACTCCTTGCCTTTCACGGGTGTTAGTCGCCATTACGGATTATTGCATAATTATACCATCGAGCCATTTTATGAAATTTTCACCAATTCCTTCGGTCAAGAAGCGGACGCTGCCCAAGAACGCGGACGCAAAATGTCCCAAATTTCTGGTAATGAGCTTTTTGTATATAATCAGTAATTTAAAGTTTTTAAATCAGTTTAACTTGCTTTATTTATTAATTCTCTACATTTCTTTTGCTAAGTTCACCAAAATATTGAGGAATTTTGACGGTTACTGTAAATTTTAAAGCATTGCTTTTCCGCGGTTTGGGTTTTGTTTCAAAGGGATTTGCGCAGATTTACCCCCGGAACACCCGATTTTTTCCTATACGTCGCAACTGCGCATGTGCCGTCGAGCCTTCAACATTATTCACGATGTAAAGAAACGAGGAGCGACGAGCATTGCTTCAAAACATTCCGAGCGTAAAAATCGTGCAATTCTTTGAGAATCTACGCAATTTATCAACTTATGTTATGAATTACGAGCATTCAATTCGACACAAATATAATTTGGAAGGTTTATTCCATAAATAGAGATTCATAAGAGGTTAGGAAAAAACGACGCTGTGTTGTTTATGTATTGATAGATCTCTTACACGAATGACGAATATATATTATGTCGATATATAGCAAGTCGATACCTGGTATTCTGCATACAGTACATAAATGATACTATACAAAACGGACATTTTGTGCAGTAATCAAATCATTTTGGTGGTATACAGTATTGATTATATGTATATTGTTTTGTATCGATTTAGCTACGCGTCGAAGTATCCACATCATAGACATAATATGCACCGCGGTTTATTTACATTATTTACAACGCAACTATTTTGGCTATTCTTATGAAATGACGATAAATTGTTGCCATCATATAAATGTAGTGAATGTAGTCACAGTTGTTTGACGAAGAAAAGAGACTAAACTGAGAAAATCGCGTCCGGTTTACATGGGCAACTAAAATAATTTAATAGTGACAGTATCCGCGGCTAACGTAACTTGAGTACTTTGAATAATTTCCTTTTGATTAATGTTTAACCTAGTTCATTATATTTTTACTGGCATAAGTCAAAATGTTTATGTTGGGAAAACGTGTTGCTTAGGTATTACAGGGCATGAAAACTTTGCACTATCCTTGGATCCCTAGTTAAATTTTGGATACGATATTTTGACTTGAGGTTTCCAGTTTCAGCCATTAGTTCATCTCTTCTGAGGTTTTTGTTGAAATGAGTAATTGCCAATATGTGCCTGTAGTTTAAAATAAAGTGAAGCTTAGTTTTAGATGTTTATTTATAAAATAACAATAGAACTGTGTCTGTATAACTGTAATAGTTATTTTTCACACCAATGTTGAGCATGACTTATTAACAAGATGATGGAGGGATTATATACATATAGGAGTCTGTATACATTATAAAAGCATGTACATACCTGCAATACATCCCTGGAAATGAAAATGCAATCATTTTTGGGGAAAAATGATTTAACACAGAGTGGAATCCCTCTAAGCAACTAGTCTGTGAAAGTGGTGATGCTTGGCAAATACCCTTTATAATTCTCTTGTTTAAAAGAGCATTGCGCACTCTCTCATAAACATCAGAATCTATATTAACCAAAATAAATTTATAGTTACCATACCAATGCAGTATTAATAGTTGGTATACTTATATGCTAATTAAAATTGTATACAAGTAGTTTAAACAAACAAAAATGGTTCAACTTATTCAATAAGATGAAACATGTTTGTCACATAAATTTGGAGAGATGAACAGCAGTTGATAGTTAGATTCAGGGTGTGCAATACAGCTAATTGTGGTTATTTGTAAAATATGTTTTACCTTTATCAAGCCGTGTTCTTTCCTCTATATCATCATGTGCACACTTATTGAAGACAGGATTAGGAAAGTCTTTGTGAACATTAGTAACATGTTCCAAAAATGATTCAAATTTTGCCCAAATGACTTGGCCATTACCATCAGCTGTGGATGTGGCACTCCAGATGAGATGGTTAACACATGGCTTCACCCATGGTAAAAGCACCTCACAATCCTTCCCTTAGCAATTTTGCTCAGTACTTTTGAAACCTCTAAAGAATATACAGTATGTCTTTAGTATGTTTGTATATTCTACATAGCAATTATGTGATATTTATAGCACATACATTTGGTCAAATGCCACAGGTCAAAGTAGTGAGTGATTTCTGGCAGCTTTTCTAGCATGTGTTTGGCAATGGATGAATGGCGATCAGACACAAAGGTGTTAAGATTCAAATCATTTTTTGATACATCCTCCATTGATCTTGTGAAAGCCATATATTCCATGGCAGGACTGCTGCCAGCTTCATTTTTCTAAATGGTGAAAAATATGCAAATATATAATATGCTAAGAGTTCATAAATCTACAATATATTATGCAATTACACAGTACCTGCACTAAACTGAAATCAATTATTGCATTTATTGGATCATCACAACAGAACAAACTATATGCACATTATTTTGCGCTATGTCCCATACTGTCATGACGACCATCCCCAGCTAAAACAAAGCCATCTATTTCTTTCAACTTCGCTTGCCATGATGCTTTGTATGATTTCCAATGCATATGAATGGTGGGAAACAGCTTGGTCTTAAAATAAAGAGATCTTCATAATAAGTACAAGGTGATGGAAATTCCTCACCTAACTTCCAAGAGAGCAAACAAATAACAAATGAGTGGCAGCTATTTTTTTGTCATGATAGAAAAAAACAACCTAAATAGGAATTGTTTTGAACTGGTCAACACCAATATAGCTAACTGGTTAGGTAACTAATCAAACAAACTGCATGTATACATACACGTTGATGGCGGTAGAATGTGGACAGAGATATGCTTCCTAACCCCATATGTTCAAATATTCTTAGCGTTTTGCTTGCAGATCCACCGCCAGTTAAAATGGCAAATGACAGAAGTAAATTCCCCGCTGGAATACTGGAGTTAGGAAATTTTGGTTGACTGCTCCACACATTGTTGCGTTTTGTGCACTTTTTTTGACTGCATGTTCTCTCGATTTGTACCATTGTTCCAAACTTTTTAACATCAATGAGGACACCTGGCATGCTACAGGTTGGACAAGTGCCAAATAATTCCATGAGTTGTGGAAGAAAGACAACAAACTTTGCTTGTGTCCTCAAATTGTCATCTTTGATATAGACTCTTAAATGAATAGAATGAAGTAATAAGATATCAATATAAGATATCAAGGTATTTTGCTTATGTTTGCATACAACTACATGCGTACTTTATTTCTTATAGATATTTCATTTCGGTCATTTATACATAGTGTATTTGAGTAAAATTAGTACCTTTTCCCAGAAATATCATCCTCTATCTCCGATTCTGTATCAGTGGCAGTCAATGGCTCTTCCAGTGCTGGTTCTTCTTCGACCTCTGTTGGTATGGATGGTTCTGATGTATGTGAGTCAACATTGCTAACACTGCTAACATCATCATCATCATCACTATCCTCTTCCTCATCACTAGTATCATCATCTGATGATGAATTATCACCACCTAGTAAATAAATAAGGGATTGCAATAAGCAACATTTACAGAATATTATTATCATAACATGTTTTGAACAACATTAACAGATTATGATTACCAAAACTTCACTGAGCCTTATAAAAAAGCATCCTTTCCTTCATTTGCCTCAACTTTTTCGTTAATTCATTGCAATTGCTACAACTTGATGGCATTGTCTGGACCCACGCGGTCTTTACATTTCCTTCAATATCACCCTAAAATATATAGATATAGACTTTATATGCATAATTTTGATAGATAGAATTTGTTTGCATAATTCCGGAAATTACTCCGTCTTTAATACCATGTCAGTTTCTTCTGCTGATTGTTGTTCAAGCATCTCAACTCATAAATCGTGTTGGTCACTCTCTGCTGTTGGGCATTGTTCAAAACTCTCGGTTGATTAACATGCTGCTGCTTGACTATGAGATTTTGTAGCGCCACACTTTTCATAATCTGTTTGTTTAGCACAAAGAGTCTATAAATAGATAAAATATCATTTTACTATTTATTTAAAAGACAAAGGTCAAAGTCTAAATACAAATTACAGCATAATGCCTATGAAATGTCCCATAATGATACATTCATCATCCGCAGTGACTTTGCGCAGAGTATGCAAAATACGGGAATATAAACCATAAAGAATAAAGTACTAGTATAAAGTATTGATGATACTCACTATTCGACGGCGGTCTCTCGTGGATAACGTGCTACTTGTCTCGCAGTATTTTGAAGGAAACACACATATGCCTATATTGTCTTGCT